AGAAATAGTGTGGCCTAAAAAATTGATTCGCGTTTGTCCCAACAGGGACTTCTCACTTGACAGTTTCAGCCCGAATTGTCGCAGCCTTTCGAATACCGACCTCAAATGCCCCACGTGTTCGGCTTCCGTTCTGCTAAAAATCAGCAGGTCGTCCATATATACTTGACATACGGAGTCGTCGATCCCCCTCAGAAATTCGTCCATCAGGCGTTGAAACGTTATGGGCGCATTCTTCAGACCAAACGGCATTCTGGTGAATTCGTAATGCCCCCTTTCGAATGTAAACGCCGTCTTATGTTGGTCCTTCGGGTGCATCCGTATTTGGTGGTATCCCGCCTTGAGGTCCAACGTGCTAAACACCACGGCCCCACTCAACCTATCAAGTATATCTTCGAATCTAGGGATCGGGTACTTTTCGTCTACCGTGTTGTCGTTCAACCTACGATAGTCCACTACCACTCTGTATTTTTCCTTATTATCCCCTGGCGCTGCCTTCTTTTTCACTGCCCACAGGGGACTATTGAATGGCGAGGTGCTATCGACTATGATCCCTTGCTCTTTCAGGCTTTCCAATTCCTCCCGAATATGCTGCCTCATCGCCTGCGGGTATCTCCTTTCCTTTACGTAGGTCACCCTATCTTGCTTCAGTGGAACTTCGTGTACCGTCTTCCCTGTTACCCCCAATACCTCGCCCTCCCTGAAGAAAATATCTACGAACTCCGCTTGTAACGCCTTTCTCCAGTCCTCCACCCTGTTCACCGCTCCTATCCGCACCCTTCTTTCTCTCGCGACCCCTATACATCCAAATTTCCTCTTTCCCAGCCTGATACTCCAAGCTCCTCTACGGTTTCTAATGCTTACCCCTACCTGTCCTAACAGATCACACCCTATTATGACTTGGTACTCCCGCGCCATGCTCTCTACCACATGCACCCTTAGCTCCCCCTTCTTCCCTGCCCACCGGTCAAGCGTAATTGACGCTTCCCCTTCTACTTTACAGGGACCACCCAGAGTGATTAGCTGGCAGCCACAGTTTTGTATCCGGAGTACCCTCTCGCTCCCGCACACTCTCCCCAACGCCCCCCGAGTCAAGATAGTACTCGAGCTCCCTGTGTCCACGAGACACTTCACTCCCCCATCTACTTCAATAATCGGCAACCAGCATGGCTTACCTCTAATATTGTTGCAGGTTGCTGTGCGGTCGCCTCTCTGCTGACACCCTTCTCAGATGCCACCTCGCTTCCTCCTTACCGCCGTCGCTCGTCGTTGCTCGCTCCGTTGGCTGCTCCTGCCTCCTTCGCCTCCACTGCTGGCTGGCTCGTCAGACTCCGTTCCCGACGTCCCCGACTCCTCGGTTGCCTCTTCCGAAGATCCGTCTCTCTGCTGCATCCTAGCTCGTTTTTTCAACTTTTGAGCGTTCACCTCCATTGGCTCGTCTAGAGGTCTCTCCCTCCTGCGAAACATGTACGGGCACTGTCTGGCAATATGCCCTTCAGTCCCGCACTCGAAACATCTAGTGCGCGGACATTGTGCTACCAAATGTCCCGGTTTCCCGCACCCGTGACATTTTCGGTCTTCCCTCCGGGGTCCATTCCTAGGCCTGGACTGTCCGGATCTTCTCTCGCCCGTCGTGGCTTTTTCTCCGTTCGGGTGTTTCATTTCCCTCTTCCTCCACCCTATCTGGGCTGTCCGGGGTCGTCTGTCACTCACTCGGGTCCACCCTGGTTCTTCTACTTCCATCCGCGTCTCTTCCTCTCTTGCACTCAGATCTATCATTTCTTGGGCACACTCGAGGAACGATCGCTCTCTAGGCAGTCCGTCCCTTCTCCCAGTCTCCTTAGCTAACTGAACCTTGAGTATTGTCGAAAGGAATTCCATCCTAGCCTCGACCTCTCCCACACTCATGGTTTCACGCATTTTCTCAGTTATGCGGTTGTACTTCGCCACTAGTACCCCCGCATACTGTCCTCTTGTTTGGCGTTGGGACCGACACTCCCTAAACATTTGGAAGATATCTTCTTCCGGCGTCCATCGGCCCCCTCCGAAAGCCTTCTTCAAACGCTCCTTAATTACTGGCCATGGTGTCTCCTCGTCCGCTTGGATTTGGTTGAGGATGTTCCTCCTCACTCGGCACACGAGAGCTGCCTTCAGTGCTTCTGCGTCTCCCAAGTTCACGAGGTCCTCCGCCACCTTTGCTTCGATTCTTGATATGAGGCGGTCTCCGCCTTTCAGGAAGTGATTAAGTTCACCTATCTCGCCCCCGAATCGCTCCAGGTCTGCGATTGCTCTCCGTAGATCCTGCGTTGTTGCTGCCCTTATCTTCATCCACTCCAATGCATTGGCATGCGCCTCTGCCAATGTGTCCCTAGGTAAGGGAGGGATCTCTTGTATCTGCGGTACTTGCGGTATCTGAGGTATCTGCGGAATCTGCGGAACCTGAGGGGCGATCTGAGGAATCTGCGCTATCGGCATTTCCTGAGGTTGCGGCATTTCAGGTGCGTTCAACACTCCTGGTCGAATTATGCCCTCTGTCGGCATCTCGTCTTTTCCTTATGACTAGGAGAAGAGAAAAAAAAATTAAAATAAAGACAGAGAAAAAAAAAAATTTTACTTCCGTGTTCTCCTGACGTTCTCCCGGGTTTCGGCACCAGTTAAGCGTCTCCGGGCTTGAAAAATAAAAAAAAAGAAGGAAAGAGGAACGAGAAACAATACTCACGACTTCTGAATAAACACTGCTTTATTCGTCCAATAATCTGCCTTATATACAATTGCTATGTTTATTTACATTACAAGATGGTATTAAGGCTGATATCGCCAGTCTCCGGTCTTTATCTTATATATATATATATATATATATATATATATATATATATATAAATTAATTTTAGTTTAAAATTCACTTTTACATAAACCTAAATACATGTACATAAACCTAAAATCAAAATCACTAAAGCTTGTACTATGTTAGTGTCGGGCATATTTAACTGTATTTTAGTTGAATAACATTATCAATTGATAACCATGTATTAGTTGTTAGCTGTACAGAACTACACATTCAACTAAATCGTTTGTTAGTTTGCGGTTCAAACTATTTTTTTTCAACTGAAAACAATTGAAGTTGAATGAAATAACTAATCACTAATTCAACAAAGACGCTTTAGAGCTAATTGAAGAACTGAAAAGCAATACCAAGGTAGGCAGTGAAGAAGGAGATTTTTTGACTAAGGTAGCTAAATATTTAAAGTATCTGTAAAGCTAAAAAAAAAAAAAAAAAAGAATACGTATGTGACTGTAAAGGTTGAATTTTCCAATTATTTTTACAAAAAAAAAATGTATAGTCATTTGCCCTAGTATCGAAGGTGAAGGGAGTGAATTTTTAATTTCTTTCACAACCACTATAGCGGTTCTAATGTGTACACAATCTACTCCGAAATCCTCAATACCATGTTCTAGGAATTATGAAATTGATTTAAAATGCACCGTCTCCGAATGCCTTCCATACACTTCACAAGTCTTTATTTATTTATTTTTTTTTTTAAATCTTTTGAATGAAGACGATTTCATTAAATCGATTTAAATTATTGAAATATTTCTTCTTTTTAATTTCCTCAAAAAAAAAAAAAAAAAAAAAAAAAAAAATATATATATATATATATATATATATATATATATATATATATATATATATATATATATATATATATATATATATATTATATATATATATAAATAACATTCAGGTGCCGTGTTTTAATAAGAAAAGAGAACGTATTTATGGGTAAGTGAAATAAATTTGTAGTTTGTGTTTGGAGTTAGAGGTATTCACTATCTTTAGCAGCCGGGAGCACAAATATTTGTGTTTTGTATCAGCTGAACCATCCGATTGATTACACTAGGCTACCCTAATTAGGTTCCTTGCCTGGCAGTGTACCCAGTTAGTAGGGGGTCATGCAACAGGGGTCACTTTGTCGATTAACTTCTAAATCTGGAATCAGAGGAGCTACCTCAGATAGACACGTAGTTATTTTGTATACATTTTCTTGGAATAATTATAAAATCTTTTATTATTTTTAAGACGATTTTAACAAAAAAAAACTTATAATGAAGAAAGTTTGTTTTATACTTATGATTCATTAATTTGTATGAGAACCATATAAAACTATAAATAGAAATTCGTTAATTTAGCACTACTAATAGATCGGCAGATTCTCTCCATCCAAAAATTATAAAACATTATATAGAAAAATATATTTTAAAAAACTCGGAGACATTTCTTCAATTTATCCGCAGTAAAAATCTTTAATATTTCTCTCATACAAGATTAAAAGAATTATAATCGATCATAAGTGCAAAAAATCCATCTTGTAGAACTGGATATAGAAAACTGAATTTTAGAACCATTTGAATATACTTGATGTCCATACAAAGATTTTTTATTAGAAAATCTGAATGAATGATTTTTTGACTTCTAAGTTATATGTTACTGAAAGATTTTTAGTGTTATTAAAGTGATAGATTTAGCTATAGATTTAGAAGATAAGTATTACGCCGTAAAAATAATTCTTAACCGTTAAATATTTCATTATTGGCTTGATGTTTGGGGTCATTAACATTATTATCTTTTATACGATAATTCTGATATGAATAAAAAATTATACAGAATGAACAATTAAAGAAAAAAAGACAAATTAAACTTATAGTTTAATGATGAAGAAAACGACAATAATAAAGTAGAAAGAAATCATTATAATGAATCAAATGTTAAAATGAGAAATATAATAGAGTAAACAGTTTAATCTTTACAAACCCGAAACGACAAGGGAATAAAAGTAAAGATTCCAAAAATATACTAAAATTATGTCTTAAACCATTGTAAAATTACTCGGCAACGTGAAATTAAGTAAAGTGATTTTCATAACAAAGCTTCATCATATATTTTTTGTAATGTTACAACAGTACATTTTTTAAAAATTAATACTGACCCTTATTTCATTTCACAGGTAACAAAATATGATTTAGAAACTGAATATGAGAAAGAAATTAGAGAAAGAAAAGACTCGGGTTGCTCAGAAGGAGGACTCCTGTTTATTGGCGGCAGAACTAGTCGGCTATCGTCGATAGGATCTGCTGCCTCTGGAGGTAGCGGAGTGTCAGCTGGGAGTGCGGTCTCCCACCTCTCTGCCGCGTCCAACCTGTCGAGGGCTTCCCGTTGTTCGTCTCCGCACAAGATGTTGCTCGAGACCTCATTTTGTGGTCCTAAGCCTATACCGACGTTAAGTCTGGAGGCTGAATACCCACCGTCAGAGAGCGTTGAGGCAGCCCTACTCAAGAGGAAGGCAGATCCCACCGGAGCCATCCTGCCCAACTGTCTTGAAGTACGCGATAACAAACCACGGCGGTGTAGCAGTGAAAGGGCTGTACGCCCTCAGGTGACTGTCCAAGCGGCCAGGAGCAGTTCCGCCCGGACAGCCAAGAGGCCCAACGTCAGCAAGAAGAATGATGACAATGAGCTCTTCAAGATCATACCCCTTCACGGGTCCCTAGACGACGATGACGACGACTCTGTTGACAACCCAGTAGAGGACTTCCAGCCAGAGAATGGGATTTACATTCCTTTAAAGGGACCAATTATAGACTGTAGGAAGCAAGAAGAGGAGCCCAAAAGAAAAAAACCAGAGATGGAAGATAGTGAACTTTTCACGTTCATCTCTCTTCATGGCGATGACGAGGAAGTCCAAAACAAGAAAAATAATCAAAGCGTTCAATACAAATCATGGGAAGAGGTATGAATTGTTGATTATTTTCAAGCCTATATTTTATTAAATCTATTTACAAATTAAATGTTAATATCGAGTAAATAATAAATGTGTTTATGAACTAATAATAATATTCATAAAATGAGTTAAAAATATTGATTATTGCAAATCTATAACATTCATTTCTCACACTTAATACTTTTTCAGGCAGCCAAATGGGTAGACTTGACCAAGCCAAGAAGTCCAGAACCGCCGAAACCAGGGCGATTAGAATTAGAGAAAAAAAAGAATGGAAGAAGCTTAGGACAAATACCAAGAGATGATTCCAGGACCCCCTCACCAGCATCTTCTTATTCAAGAGGGAACATCTTCAGAAGGAGTTCTGACTCTTCTAGCAGCAGTAAAAAATCTGGTGGTTGGTAATATTACTTACAATTAATCTAATAGAAATGTGCTGTTTTTACTGTATTTTTTCAGAAGAATTTTCAGGAGAAAAGATGTCATTTCAGAGAAGCAATTTCAGATTGTATCTATTAACAAAGAAATTTTGTATTATAGTTTTTCTTTTAATGAATTAGCAGTAGCATGAATCATAAGGAAAAGATCGCTTTCATTACTTGAATTTAAGATATCTGATGACGACATCGATAACGGAATAAGTGGCAAAAATACAAAAATGAGTTGGACACGAAAATTACGTTGCCAACAACCTATAATATAATAAGTACTAAATGTAATAATCAAATAGTTGTACAAGCAATCTACAAAGATGGGAGCTATGGAGGGATGGAGCTCTTATTTATTTTATCATCTAATTCGGTTTTCAGGTTGCTGGGCAATACATGTTTTGAACACTCTTTAGCCAGATCGGCCACCCCAACCCCATGATTCACCTATATATGAAATAGATAGTAAGGGAAGGTACTGCGATCGTAAAAAAATCTGAATTCAAATTTTCAACGGAAATGCACTTTTGATGTTTTCTGAGTCTAAATAACCAAGTCTCGCAAAGGGTCTGAGTGTTTAGGTTTATGTGAATAGCCTTGCTCAATACCGAAAGCCAAATGATACTGAAATAAGGTATTTAAGGTTAGATCAGAATAGGTCCCAAACTTTACTAAATGTTCTTCTACTGGATATGTTCTTCATCTTCATTCTGTCAGGAACAGTGCGTAATATGCTATAGCATAGATGAGGAGAGTTTTGGCTCTGATAATACTATAAACATAAACATGTGCGAGTATGTAACTAAAGTGATTTCAGAAATATAATATTGAAAAATGTCTACATCAATAATGCAAACATACATATTAATATTTAATTTAGTTTGTGTGTAAAAGATAATTTTTATTTTCGGATGAACATTTTTTCAATCATAATTTAATCGTTATGATCGCATGATTTTAAAATTAAAAATCAGATATAATAATTATTACATGATTTTGTGGACAACATAATTTTTGATTTCAAACTCATATAGGAAAGGGACAGTGTCAAAAAATGAATAAATTTAATGAATTAGATGTATATGAAAACAGTATAGTGATATATTCAATACTGTTTTTATTAATTTTTCTAAATTAATACATTATACCTTCTATCATTTTTATTTTGTCCTCCTTCTACTCAAAGTATGGTAGGAAGCGAAAGTTGAGTAATGCGTGCACAACACCAATTTTTTTTTTATGTATTACATTTTTATAGTTAGTGATTTAAATGTTTGTTTATAAAAGTTTTGACTTGGTCAGAAATAAATGTGAAAATCAGAACCCATATATTTTTAGTAACAGTGACACAGTTGAGAGAGTAGCCCAGGAAACTCCTGGTTTTTTGCCCTGCTTTTTCCTCCATGGGTTGCTGAAGTTCCCTTTGCTGAATATAAATATTTTACATATGTATGATTGTGTTTTTAGAAGACTTAATTATTTATTTTGTATTCAATTTGAAATCTAATTATTTTTATGTATTATATTATATTATTTTTTTAAATTTTATTTATTTATTTTTTTAAATTATCTATACTTATTTCCATTTTGTATGTACATATTGTATGAATGAACATATATAGCCTATTATAATATGTAGCCTATAGCACTACAAATTAGCAAATATAGAAATATGTTCAATATTTAAGTTTACTAAGCATTGAATTATAAAATTAATCTTATATAAAATTTAAAGTGAACAAAATTTTCCATCTTTTTAAGGTTCAGGAGAATCAAAGTCAAAGAAAGATAGCCGTAACAAATCGATGTTTACAGCTCTCTTCAGAAAGAATGTAAAAGAAGTGCCACCACGAAAGTCAAACTATCAAGATAAAGCACCCATCGATCCAAAATTGACAAATGTAGAATATAAGTTTAAACAAGATGTGAGTATCGGTTCTTATTAACATAATTTGCTAACATATAATAATTTTTGAATGTAGAATGTTATGACATACAATTAATATTTAATTAATATAAATTTTAATTGTTGGTTAGGACTTCCATTTTATTTATAATAATAAAAAATACATATTATTATATTTTTACTTTTTACTCATTTTTTAATCTCTTAGGCCATTTTCAAAGGAAGAAATCTTACTTTAATCTAAAAATAAAATAATTTGGGTAAGGTTTCTTCCTTTGAAAATGGCCTAAGGGCCAAAACGTTGACTGTAAAGTAAAAATAAAGTAGAACTGTGAATCTGATGTATTTATTTTATTATTATTAATATTTAATGTTTAAGAAATCAAGTATAATACGATATTAATTTTCCATGGTATGTTTGGTTTATTGTTGCTAAAACATAATATATGGCAATGAACTTTATATTCTTTCAGCACAATAATTCATGAAAAATGTAATCGGATCTTCATCCTAATTACATCCACAATCTTTGAATAAGTTGAAAAATAATTTTTTTTTCAAGTAAATTGCGCAATCTTAATGATATTATTTTTTAAAAAATAGAAATTTGATGACATTATATTGGATCCTTATATCAAAGGAATCCTAAAAGATAAAATAGTTTGCTGCCTGATAGCGTAATCTTAAAATCAATAGTATTTTCCAAAACTAGGCCCCCGATAACATAATAATAGAATCTTATTCCGAAGATATTCGAAAAGTTAAAGTAAATCAATATGCAATGTTTCCAACTTATCTTAATATTGCTGGACCCTGAAAAATAAAATGAAAATAACTGTCTCTGGAAATTATCTATGGCTAAATAACTCCAAAACCTATTCTTGCATTGTCATATGAGGAAAATCTTGTAAAAGTTTCTTAAGAAATTGTTCCATCTTATACTAGACTCCAATCAGCAGTTGTACTTTAGTTACCTTGCTGGATGTTGTTCTACCTGTATTGAAGTACAATGTTAACAACAACACTGGGATGAATAATATCTGGGATGAAACTCAATAATATTTCACATGTTCATATAAAGTTTACAACTTTTTGCAACATCATGAATCAAAGAACCAAAGATTTGTATTCTATTGGGTGGTACTGGTGGGAGGAACTAGTCCAGCAAATGGATTTTGTGGTCATTTCCTCCAACATCCGATGACCTAACATAGAGGTTACCTCTTCGTATTTCAATATTAACTGAACCAAGTGGGAATCAAGCCCACAGCATTCGAAAGCAGGCCTGGGACATTTTCCCCAACATACTTGGCCAACAGGTCCTCTATGGCAATGCAAGTTATCCAATTTTAAAAGATAGTATAAGCAAGTCGAAATACCCACCTTCATTGTGAAGAATAACCTACATTACTTTATACAGTTTCATAAACATATTTTGATATTATTATATTTTACAGGAACATGTGATAGATAAAGATACAATAATCATCCCCCTTCATTCTCCAGATGAAGTTGTTGAACCTTTAATAAGATATGATCCAGCTAAAGATGATACTGATATTTTGAAAGATATTCGCCCTGAAATTAAGCCTGAGTCTTCAGTACCTCATAGTAAATAACTATTTTTAGCTTTCTATATTAAAACTATTAGAGGGTTATTAAATAAATGGCCAATTACTAAATAAATAGTTATTAAACTAATGACTAGGTAAATATTTCATGTATAGTTATTACACATTGATTAATAATGAATTACTATTATAATTTACAGATCAGCGATCATCACTTGATGAACACACTATTGAGAAAAACATTGTTGTTGTTGATGTAATTAATGAAGATACAAAAGAACCTGTTAAAAATAAAGTAAATAGACAAGAAAAAAAAGAAGATCCCGTCAGATCAGAAATGAAAGAACTTATTAAACCAGATGTATCTGAACAACTAAAATTTGAATGTAAAGGAGCATCCACTGAAATTAAAAAAAACATTAAAGAACTAACAAAGAAAGTAGAAGGGCTTGAAATCCAGCATTTAGAATGTGAACCAAGAGTAAGGAGATCGTCGAGTGTTTCATCAAGGGAGGTAGAATATTCCAAAGAACAAAAAGAATCAGCAATAAAATCTGAGGAACGAAATGTGAATCTAGTAGGGAACCAAGAAAGTTTGGAAAATGAAAGACAAGAAAGTGATGAAACTGTGAGGCAGGCTAGTCAGGAAACCGTAATTGAAAATCCAGGCGCAAGTGAAGAGGTTTTGGCTAATGAGATTTCTCCTAATCAAGAAGAAGTAGTTTTGAGCAGCATCATTCAAGATGAAGAAATAGAAAGTCTCATAAAAAAAGAAGAAGATTCTGAAAATAATTTAACAAAAAGTGAGGGTCATGAGAGGCAGTCTTCAGAATCGGAAGTTGACATGGAAGTAGAGCGAGAGGTTGAAGCAGAAGAATGTGACGAAGAAAGAAAAGGGCTGTTTCATCAAACTGATTCTCAAGAAGATGAGTTGCCATATGTACCTACAACATTGCCGCAAGAAAGGTAACAGAATTTCATATTTGAATAATTGATTTTTTCTCATTATTTATCTAGTTGAATTAAGGAGAAAGGTGGAAAAAAAAGAATAAGAGCTTTTTTAAATTTTGTTACCAGTTGTTATTTTCAATGTTTAATGGAAAAAAATTAGCGCCTCATTTTCATTAATTAATTTGTAGAATTATTTAGGGCTTTGCTTTTATTAAAGAGACGGCTCAGAGTCATATTTTTATTGCTAATTTTGTGTTATTATATGCTTTGAATCTCTTCTTTAAAATTAAATAATCTATCAGTAATCAGACTTTCTTCAACAAATAGAACTCTTTTTTCATGTTATAATTATTTTAGATCACAAACTGAGTTCATAAATTAATTTAACTGAGTAATACAAATTAATTTTTATTAATCATAAATTTTATGATTATTGATACTCACCTTTATCATTCTCTAAATTATTTAGATGTAACTAATAGGAAAATTGAAGATTTATTATATTATGAAATTTAATTAACGAAATCATTTAAATTTTAACTCAGGTCTGTAGCAGTTCCTATAATTCCAATCAGACAGAGGGTAAGTGAAGTTAAGACATGTCCTGTAGAGAGACCAAGGTCTACCACCCCAATCCAACCTTCCAACCTTGAAGAGTATGCTACTTTCCATGAACCTAGGCCTTCTCTTACTCAAGAAAAAATGCAAATCACCCTCCCAAGGTGAGTCCAGGTATGTCATGCTATTTTATATCTTCTTGGTGTGTAGATTTAGATAGCATGGCATGATCTGTTTATTTCAAGTGGCGTCATTTTGTTTCTTTTCTGTTTTTATATTTTTTAGCATTTGAAGGGCTTTAAACTCAGTTTAAACAGTCCATTGTTATATTATAGACATTATCTTTGATGATATCACAGATTCGGTTCAAGGAACAAATTTTAGAATGTTTATAATAAGATGTATTCAGTAATATAAATAAGTACTTACTCGTAAGTAAGTAGTTACTCGAGTAGAATAGTGATCCAGGAAAGGAAAGTGCAATTTAATTTATAACGGTTATGGTCATGGTTATTGTGAATGATTATAGTTGGTGATAACACATGTTTAGTCCAATTTAGGTAGGCTAAGCCACTTTTATATAGATCTTGTATGTATTGTTTATCTATGCATATTTATATTGTTATATTTTACATGGAGGTAGGAAATCATTTGATTTATCAATAGAATAACATAAAGTGTGCATTTTAAAAACTGAAGAAGCAAAGCATCATAGAATACACATAGTATTTTAGCACTTTTTTGTTCAGCTGGTGGACCATTTTAGATATATTTCATGATAAACATTGGCATACGTATTTAAACAAGTCTTTCAATACATCTTGTTTTGGAAATATAATAGGCTATAAGTACATCTAATCTAGGTTTGGGTGTATTCTTTATTTTCGTTAACCCAAGGCATTTATAGCAATTTTTAAAGAAAATTTATTTCATTAGAAAACTTGATTGTTTATGAATATATATTACATTCATTTTTAAAAATTATATTCATTAATCTGCTGTTACATTTTTCTTAAAATTTAGAAACAAATTTTGTTCAATCTCACTGGCAGAATAGGTTTATCGTTAATAAGGATAAAAGTAGTTAGAAATTTTTCTCATACCATTTCTTTTTTTAAACCCATGTTTTATGATACAATGCAAAATAAGGATTAGTTGGATGTATGCTGTGATATTTAAAATAACAAAATATTAAATATATATTATTTTAAAATACATTACATAAAATTATCACTCAAAATAACTTTATTACATTATGTAGATTGATGAATTAAATATTTTATTACAAGATTAGATAAATCAACATAAAATGAAATAATGTATTCTATTAAATCAAAGGAATGTTATGTTAATATTTAGAAAAAAAAATAGTTTATGGTCATTCTATAAATTGTCTAATATAATTTAAGACTGCATATAATAAAAGTAGTAAATTATCACTTTTAGTTTTCTTGTGCCATTGATGCTAAGTTATGAAGTCATGAATATAAACTAATTCTCATTCTTTAAAATCTTACTTTTAATGTATTCAATTGACTGACTCTTCAGAATGGTACAAACTGGGGTTTTTATATAAATGGTTTAATGAATGATTTATCAAACTTCCCTAAATCTATTTTAAGACAATAGAAAAAAATAAGTTTGTATTAGTAGCACTCCTATAATGACGAATATTAATTTAGAGATGAGTTAATTGCAAATCTATTAGCTTCACAATCTATAACTGAATTTTGTTATCATAAAAACTAATCCACATGCATGCAGGCTTGTTCCCTCAAATATAGCACCAAGATGGAGGAAGGTACTATAGCTGTGAGATGTTTAGAAATAAATACCCCCATTTGAGTCCAAATGCATCACAATACCATACAATTATTCTCATAGTCTCACCTATAAAACATCTATTTTTATTAATAAATACAGCAGTTAATTTCACTTAATATATACCTAACTGTAACATTCTGTTAACCCTGAAGTCCTGTAATATCCATCAATTTTAAAAATTATTCATTCTATTCGGTGTACCTCTATTAGTATTAGCTGTGGTTACATTTGAACAAAGAACACAGTTTTATTAGAAATTCCATATAACCTATCAGTATGAGTTCAGTGGCTTGAATTTCTCATTTATTTTTCCTTAGGTATTGTATTTTAAAAAAACTTTTTATGTTTAAATTTTTCCATTATTATTTTAACAACAACCCTATTTTTTTTTATTAAGTAAAATCACAATCAGAGCAAAAGAAGAAAAAAAGGAATTTCTAATTTAATAGCCTTCTAATGTTTAAAAATAATTACCCATTTTCGTTATACAAGCTTTTTCTTTTAGTTTTTCAGTTAGTGGTCAGAAGCATCTGAGAGTTCTTTCATGATAAACAGGAGCATATCATGGTAATCCTGCAAATTGAAATTGTACCCATGATAACCTCGTAGATATTTTGAGTATTTTGAGCTTTATATATCATGAAAAATGTTATTCCTTTGTTTGTGCAAGTTCATTGGATGCAATAATCATTATTTTAGTAATAGCAAATGCAGTTTAGAAGAATGTCATCTTGTGCTATTAATCATTAGGTACAGCAAACCTTTTTCAGCACTATCTCAAGAATGCTTAGTTAAAGTAAATATTTGGCAAAGACTCCATTATTATTACAGACACATCATAATAAGAAAGTGATGAGGAAATTCTGCCTCTTATTCTGAAGACGCTTCACGGAGATGATGAGGATCATGCTTTAACATCCTACATTTTTCCCAATATGGTCAGGTACTGTATAGCTAATATAGATCCTCAGCATTGTAAAAAAAAAATGTATGGTTGGTTTAATTGTTTTCCTTTTGTTGACCATAAAATGTATTAATTTTAATTTTTAAAATCTTATTAAAGCATTGAATAAAACAAGAAATACAAACTTTTTTCTAGAAGCTATAGTTCAAAAATCACAAATATCAAAACTAAATGTTTGTCCAACTTAATTTCAGGGCTTTGGAATTAGTTTATATTTTATTTATGTATTTTTATTTTTTCTGAGTGGTTTGTGACATTTCATCATTTATTATAATCAGTTTAGTAAGCAATTTAGTTCTAAAAATGTATGATCACATTTCTTAGAGCTAAAAATTATTAAGGATTAAATTACAGTTATTCATTTTCATTGAAATGGACAGTTTTAATAATAAGCCATATTGCAAAAAGAGATAAATAACTTTTTTTTGTTAATAGATGTTTTATATTAAAAAAAAAAAAAACACTCTTTTTTACATACTTTTGAGTCAATCACAAGACATATAACAAGTGTAATACTTAAACAACTTAATCCTTTGACTGCGGACGGAATTTATGCCTTCCCGTTAGTGAGTTGGGTCACTGGTGCAGCCGGGATTTATGCCTTCTTGCCTGGGGGGCCGCCACTTAAACAGATAGAGGCAAGTCCTGCCTTCACCATTTGACATGTGGCTTGGTCAGTGCATTCATTAGTCCCCTGTAGCTAACTCAGTACAGCCGTTCTGGATTCTAATAGTTTGGAAGCTATGAGTTGCAGATTTATTCTGAACCCAAGGTATGTCCTTTCTCTGTCATTTATGTCAAATCCATAATCTTATTTATATTCTATTTAAATGAATTATACATTAAATAAATGTTAATAAGTTAATTTTATATTTTTTTCTTTCTTTTTTTTTTTAATTTGGTTTTGACTGAATGCTTATTTTGGTACACTTGAATCTCTACTAAACAAATAAATGTTAGTTTCCTACATTTTTATTTATAAATATAATTAAAATGTAATAATAAAAATTAATAAATGTGAAACTACATGAAATTAAAAATGTTGCTTTAGTTGTTTTATCATTTTTCCATCAATCTATCAAAATAAATGTAAATGCAATAATAAAATTTATAACTGCACTTTTTGCAATGAGGAACATTTTTAGGTAAGAAAAAATTTGTAAATACAAAGAAATATATAATTCGAATCCTGTCATCGGTGTCCTTTTTTCAGAAATAATATAATTTAATTTTTATGATCACTTAGTTATTTTTGTGATAATTTTCAGTTATTTTGCTTTTCAGAAATGAGCAAATACACAAGAAAGCGAAAAGTTTTGCAGGATTGCCGCTCTTATTTTGCTATGTGCGGCCGGGAAGGCATATATCCCATTTTTTTTAAGTTGAATAAAACGTTAAAATGCATTTTTGAAGGTTAAGATCTTGCAGGGTGACTCAAAATAGCATTCCGTTTTAATCCGTTTTTTGGAAGTCTTTTTGGATTTCAGAATGCAACGTATAGTCGAAACTCGCGAACAAACGCCTGCAGTCAAAGAGTTAATCTTTTTTAAAATATATAATTGAAACCTTTAATTGCATTTTTAAGTAAGGACTTTAATGTTTTAACTTTCATTTCTTGTAAATATTATTACACTCATTTAAAACTCCAAATATTTCGCTATGTGGGATCAAGTAAATAAATGAGTGTAGAATAGCTGAGTTTTTATTTTTAAATTTTTGTCAGTATCATTAGTAACAAAGCAACACAAGTGAATTGACTTTTCGTTGTTGATTTATAAGATATTTTTATCAAAAATCAAATAGTAGTATTGGGAAACAGGATATGGTTCTTTTTTTAGTAATTAGTAGAGTTTGATAATAATTTGAGCTTCAGCACTTTTTTGTGTAGCCTGGCCATGCTTGACTGCCTAAATAACATCCTATCTATTATAGAGATTGATCAGTTATAATTTATAGTGTTAAGTTATTGGTTATAGTGTCTCCATAATTTCTCCCAAATGGTGTCTGTTTTTGTTTCAGTTTTTATATATGATTAAAGTATTTATAATGTTACGCAACATTAATTTTTATATACCATAATAAACTAAAATTGAAAATTATAGTTATTGATTTTCATACAGTTAAATTTGAATTTCTTAATTGAGTTTGATAGAATGGAGACCTCTTATAATTATCCGTAGTGCTTATTGTTCAAACTTTTGTTGAATCCCTCTATCAGGCAATAATTGCTTCGGATATCAAAGCTGCAGCTCTCATCATTCTTCATTCCTTCAAAGGACACTGTTTAGTTCTATTATGGACAAATATTACCTGTTGGCTTTAATTTAATTCAGAAATTATTTTTAATCCAAACCTAACCAATTTTTCTTGAATAAG